GAGAAAGTGGCCGTCCTGGCCAGGATGCCCCAGCGCCCCCAGGCACGGGGCTGTGAGGGTTTGGGAAAACCCCACAGAGATCCCATCAGCCTGTCCCTTCTCCGGGACCGTGTCAGGCAGTAGGTGACACCCATCCCCATGACCCTGCCTTCTCGCTGCAGTTCTGCAACTTCCCCCTGACCTCATGCAAAATCTGAAATCTAACACATTTTCTCTTCAGAAAAACACCCCGTAGATGAGAAACGCACCAGCTCCTCCCAGAAAACTTACCCCCTCCCCCGCAAGCCCGCTCTGGACCAAAGCCCCCCGCAAGCGGAGCAGCACCCCGCCAATGTGGCTCGGCGGTTAGGGCGTTGGCCGTGCACCGAAGGGCCGAGGGTTCGACCCCCAGCCCTGGCCGGGGCGGGGCAGGAGGCAATCAATCGATGAGTGTCTCTCACATCAATGTTTCTCCCTCGCTCCCCCTCCCTCCTTCCACTCTCTCTAAAAAATCAGGCGGAAAAAATATCCTCGGGTGAAGATGAACAAAAAAACGAAAAAAGCAAAAACGGAGCAGTCCCACTCCAGGCCAGTCCGCAAGCCTCCCTGGGCACAGACCACGCTGGGCCCTTGGGGACACAAGTGTGGATCAGACAAAGGCCCCACTCGCAGCCCCACCCCCACCCCAGGCTCCTCTCCCCGACCCCTGCGGCCCCGGGGCCCAGGGCGCAGCCCAGCAGCCAGCTCCTGTCCTTGGATCTGAACCTTGACCTCCCCACTTGCTGTGACCTCCCTGGGCAAGTGACCCGACCCGAGCCTTGGTCTCGTCAGCTTTGAGTGCGGCCTGGTGACCACGCGCGGTGCTCTCACAAACGTGGTCTCCGTGGGCTGGTCCGCTCCGGGCTGGTCCTGTCCCTACGCCCAGCGTGGAGTCTCTGAGCCCCCCCAGCCGACGCCAACCCCTAGCATGGTGGGTGGCGCTTCTCAACAAGCCAGCCCCCCTTAGCATGTGGGGCTCTCCAGGCTTGGGGAGGAGGCATCTTACCGCTCTGCCCGGTCCCCCTCCAGGTCCTCAGGGTGACACCCACGGGGCGGCAGGCGGTAAACACGGAAGGAAGGACTGAATGAGCGGGACACCCCGTGGGCAGGACAGAGGAGGGAGCCGGGGCTTCCCGTGGGAGTGAAAGGCCAGGCTCCTGCCCTGGCGGGTTTCTTTCAGGTGAACAGCTGTTCCAGGTCCCCTCTTCCCGGGGAACCCTTCCCGAAGCACTTTCAACCCCTTTCTCGGCTCCGAAGGACGACCTTCGGGCTGCTGTGTCCGGTGCTCTTGGGCCCACTGGGCAGAATTGGGAGCCGGCTGCCTGCTTCATCCAGCCTCAACTTTTTTCTCGCCCCAGCAATCTCGCGTTTTGAGTCCAGGCACCTCCGGTCCCCTGTCCCTGTCCCCTGTCCCCTGTCCCTGTCCCCTGTGCCTGTCCCCTGTCCCCTGTCCCTGTCCCTTGTCCCCTGTCCCCTGTCCCCTGTCCCTGTCCCCTGTGCCTGTCCCCTGTCCCTGTCCCCTGTCCCCTGTCCCTGTCCCCTGTGCCTCAGCAGCCCCGCCCCTCAGCAGCCCTGCACCCAGACACTCAGGCTCTGCCAAAGGGAGGGAGCTGGGTGGCTGCCCGAGACACGTCCCCTGCAGCGAAAGTGGGGAAGTAAACACTTCTTAGAATTCCCCCAATTTCACCGACTGGGGCTCGGCCTCCCAGCGGGCGGGTGTGGCAGCTCATGCCTTAGTCCAGGAAGGTTTCCCCTGACGGAGCAAAGACCATGCGGTTAGGCAACCGCGTGAAGCTGCGGTCGCAGGGCCCCATCCCGCCACTGCTGTCAAAAAGTGAGCATGAGCTCTTGCTCAGGTTTAAAAAATAAAACATCTGTCATTGTAGAAAAAATTACTCATAGCTGTGATTTATTTCTGTTTCTAAATTGTGACACATACACAGCCTAAAATTTACCATTTTAACCATTTCAAGTGTAGGGCTCAGCGGCGTCAGGAATAGGCCTCGTGTGCCACCACCGCCCAGCCACCGCACTTTTCGTCACTGTTGTTAACATCAGTGGAGGGTGCTTGTTCCGTTGCTTTTTAGAGACAGCGACAGGGAGGGAGGGGAACAGAGGCGTCGCTGGGAGAGACGCACCCATAGGCTGCCTCCCACATCACCCGACCGGACGTGGCACGAGTGGAATCCCACGGCACGTGTCCTTCCGTGACCGGCTTCGTTCACGCAACGCCACGTGCTTAAGGCTCCTCGGTGCTGTGGCGGGGGTCAGAATCCCCTTCCCTTTCGGGGTGAACAATATTCCGTCGTACGGAGGGACCACGCTCTGCTTACCCGGCCACCTGTGGGTGGCCACCCGGGTGGCTGCCACTTTCTAGCGCCCGTGAGTAACAGGGGCCCTCACATCCGTTCGAGTCCCTGCTTTCCCTTCTCAGCTCCGTCTCTTCCTCGCAGGCGACGGTGTTGCCACCCTGTGGCTCTGAAAACTTCACTGTCCTTGGAAGTCCTCACGGGGCCACGGGGGCGGCTGACTGAGGCGATGCTGACTCACAGCCCAGGGCCGGGAGGAGCCGCCTCCAGGGGCTGCCCCGAGAGGGAGGGGACAGTTTCACTTTCGGAAAGCTGCGGCTCCGACTGTAACCCCCGAGCTTCCCGGAAACCACGGGCAAGTCAAGTTCCCGCTGACTTCCCCTCCATCCAAACACGTCAGGGAAAACAGAAGCCCGTGTCCTCGAAGCTCTCCCAGCCTCCTACACACCGTCCAGCCGGGTCACACTGGACAGCTGCCCCTCGAGTGGGTGAAAGCCCCGCCTCCACCCCACGTCGGTTCCCTTCCCCACCTCCACGTTTGTACCGGGGTCCCACGGCCTAAAACAATCTCCCCCTCTTCTCTAAAGTCCTCTGAAGACACACCAAACGTGTGTCCCGAACCTCAAATTCTCCCAGTGCCTCTGACCTGAGGCCTCCTGCCTGGGCTGTGCCTGGGCCCTGGGCCCACCCCCCTCTGTCACCAGCATTAGGGGACCTTAAAGTCGTAGATACCTTTCTGCTCCCTCCCGCCTGTCTACCACGCTCCCCTCTGTGCCGTGGACAAGTGGCTCCTTAGGCCACGGGCTTTGGCTCCCCTCTGTGCTGTGGACACGTGGCTCCTTAGCCACCGGCTTTGGCTCCTCCGGCCCACACTCCACCCTGACTCTTCTGCTCCTCTCCTCTCAGCTGCAAGTCAGTTCCTCCAGGAGGTTGTCCCCGGCCCCCAAGACAAAGGCAAAGCAGCGTGATGTGGGCCCCGTGGCACCCAACCTTCTCTTGCCCGCCTGTGTTGGGTGCCCTCCCCGAAAGGCCAGCAGCTGCATGAGCCGGGCGCGGGGCTGAGCGGGCCACGCGTTAAGCAGGCGAAGGTTCCAGCCCGCAAGGAAGGCTTCTCACCCTGACTGCCTGCCGCT